ACTTTGCGTCTTAGCATAAACCACTCACGATAAAATCGTTTCCTTAACAGTTAATCTACCTGACATGAACATGTATTTGAAGGACATATAACCCGACAACCCCCAAGGACCGAACTGCGGTTCAATACTGTGACACTGTCACCCCAATGTAGGGGTAGTAGAGTATATGCCTGCATACAACGGCAATACAAGACACGTGGACTTGCTGGAGTTACCCGACGAGACGACTTATATCCCCACCCAAGGACTCGACACAACATCAAAATCAGACTAGCCAAATCGGAAGTTGAATAATACTATACAAGATAGCTTGCGTTCATCACAGGTAATCCCGTTAAGACATGGAGAAAAATCTTCGAAGTATTGAGAAAAAAATTCGGCGGCAACAGATGTACGATGCCCTATATAGCTTTTGTATAGAAAGTTTCAGTAAATCACATAGTAGAAGGGGTAACCTCACCTTCGGACTTTTCCTCGAGCGAGCGCATGAACTGGAAGAAGCCGAACTCGCTAGTCTGTAGACCATTAGAGTAGACGAACTCGTCAGCAATCCACGTGGCAACCATAGCATTGAGATAAGCCTCGGGAGTGTTCTCGACAATCTTATCCAAACCACAATGAACAAGAAGCAACCTGGGCACACAACGTCTGAGAACAGCACGAACCATCCAATCATTCTCAGGATCATGTTCCTCGAGGACGCCAAGGATATAAGACTGCATGTCGTTGATCTTCTTCGACAATAAGATGGTTGCATCAGTCTTACGAATATACCTCGATCCATCAGGATACTTCACCTCATGGTTAGTCTTCCAGATGCCATTGAACTCCATCTTGGCGTTATGACGGACAGCGGCAAGAATCTCCTGAACGTATTGTTCGTAGAACTCAGGAGGAGCACTGGTCTCATCACGAGAACACAGGAACTTGTCATGATCAGCCGTGTCCATGCAAAGAGCGGCGAACACTTCCATACTGCTGGAAAGTACACCACCCTTGGTTGGTGGAAGCATCCTTGAATAGCTGCACACCAGCATCCTCAAGATA